AAAAAAGAAAGAGAAAGAGAAACAGAAAAAGACAAAGAAAGAGAAAGAGAGGAGAGAGAGGGAGAGAGAGGGAGAGAGAGGGAGAGAGAGGGAGAGAGAGGGAGAGAGAGGGAGAGAGAGGGAGAGAGAGGGAGAGAGAGGGAGAGAGAGGGGAGAGAGGGAGAGAGAGGCAGAGAGAGGGAGAGAGAGGGAAAGAGAAGGAGAGAGGTCTCTCTCTCTCTCTCTGTCTCTTTCTTTCTCTTTCTCTTGCTCTCTCCTTTTCTCGCTCTCTCTCTCTCTCTCTCTCTCTGATCTTTCTCTTTTGAAGTTTCTCTTTCTGGTTGTTTTCTCTTTCTCTCTTTTTCTCTTTCTCTCTCTCTCTCTCTCTTTCTCTCCCCTTCTCTCTCTCTCTCTCTCTAAAGAGAGAAAAAAGAAAGAGAGAAAGAGAGAAAGAGAGAAAGAGAGAAAGAGAGAAAGAGAAAAAGAGACAAAGAAAAAAAGAGAGAAAGAAAGAAAGAAAGAGAGAAAGAGAGAGAAAGAGAGAGAAAGAGAGAAACAAAGACAGAAAGAGAGAGAGAGAGAGAGAGAGAGAGAGAGAGAGAGAGAGAGAGAGAGAGAGAGAGAGAGAGAGAAAGAAAGAAGAAAGAGAGAGAGAAGCAGTGGAGTGGAGTGGAGTGGAGTGGAGTGGAGAGGAGTGGAGTGGAGTGGAGTGGAGTGCAGTGGAGTGGGAGTGGGGAGTGGGGAGTGGGGAGTGGGGAGTGGGGAGTGGGGAGTGGGGAGTGGGGAGTGGGGAGTGGGGAGTGGGGAGTGGGGAGTGGGGAGTGGGGAGTGGGTAGTGGGGAGTGGGGAGTGGGGAGTGGGGAGTGGGGAGTGGGGAGTGGGGAGTGGGGAGTGGGGGGTGGGGAGTGGGGAGTGGGGAGTGGGGAGTGGGGAGTGGGGAGTGGGGAGTGGGGAGTGGGGAGTTGGGAGTGGGGAGTGGGGAGTGTGGAGTGCGGAGTGTGGAGTGTGGAGTGTGGAGTGTGGAGTGTGGAGTGTGGAGTGTGGAGTGTGGAGTGTGGAGTGTGGAGTGTGGAGTGTGGAGTGTGGAGTATGGAGTGTGGAGTGGGGAGTGGGGAGTGGTGAGCGGGGAGTGGGGGAGAGTGAGAGCGGGAGTGGGAGTGAAGTTTCTGGGGCAGCCAGACAGCGTCAGCCACCGGGCACCGTTCCGGTTTGCCAAGGAGTTGCAGAGGATGGAGGCCTTGGCGGACTCCTGAAAATTCTAGCACAACAGATTAGGACAATCTCCTGGCCATGCAGCTGGCGCACGCTTTCTGCCTTTAACCGGAGGCCCCACAGACAGGGAGAGCGCCGCTACAGGGGCAAAAGACGACCTTGCGGAAGGAGAGGTTAAGGATCAGCTGAAAGAGCGGCCAGAGCGGATGCCCTGCTGAAAGACAGCCAAAGCAGAAGCAAGCCACGCGTGCATGAAACCCTCAGCTTTGAGCGCGGCGCAGTAGTTACATATGCGATCATCCTGATGAGTCAGGGAATAACACGGTCTTGCTCCAAGTATGACTCATATACAATGTGACTCAACAGTCAAGGGCCTTTGCAAGGAGATTCGAAATAGGATTTGCTTTGTTTACACTATGACCCTTTTGTAGCATAAGAAAGGTCTGAAATTAGACTTTCAGACCATCGTCACCAAAAGACACCAAAACCTGGGTCCATAGAGGGGTTGAATTTTGCAGGTTTTTGGCCATGATTCAAGTTTTTGGCCAGAGCTCGAGCGCGAAGTGCACTTAAAGTCACGCCGGAGTCTGCGAAGTGCACTTTGGCACCCTCGCGCGGTTGCGTGTACATATTAGTTGTTTTTGTACATAATTCCATACACTAACTAAGTGTGTTGAAATCAAACTTGCAAAGCAGCTATCTCAGTTGCGCGTTACTTGTCTAATACGATTCAAGCTAAAATGATGTCGAGTTCACGCCAAGCTCAACCTTTAACCGGTTGCAGTGTCTCGTGCGATTCAAAAGTAAATTGGAGAACACCGCTATTGTCATAGCCAATTAAAACTGGAATCAAGAGAAATGTCATAAGGGTTATTGCCCTTATCTAACTCCATGTGGTTTTAACCAAGCAAGACTGAGCCAAACCAATAACAGAAAAGTGTTTTGAAACACAGATCTTATTACTGGCATAACATGATGTAAGACTCGGTGTTTTCAGCATTCGCTGAGATCACGTTGCCCTGGATCGAAGGCCAACTATTCAAGATTCCACAGACATCTTTTTAGAACATCCTCAATCCTGGCCCCCAGAAAGCTTGACAGGGTGTTCATACTCTTTAAGGTTTCCCACCTGCATTGAAGATTGAAGATCTCCAGATTTTGTTTTTTGAGAATCGTCCATCCTGAGCCCTCAAGTCCAAAAAAAAGCTTTAAAGTTTTCAAAACACATGTTTCCCGTACAGGCAACATGCAGGAGGTGCACATCCACAATTTGACTCTTGGAACATGCTCTGTATGTACTTGGGTCAAACTGATACGTGCCAGCACGTGCTAGCACATCCTGGATTGAAGATTGAAGATTGTCAGACCACTTTTCTGGAAACCTTCAAATCCATACCTGGGTCAAACTGATATGTGCTGGCACCTGCTAGCACATCCTGGACTCCCCTAAGCTAGCACGTGCTAGCACATCCTGAATTGCACTAAGTCGTGATGCTATAATTTAGGTCCAACAAAGAGTGCATTTTTGAGCATCATGTTTAGAAGCTAAAAAGTGCATTTCGCATGCATTTTTTACGGCAACATGTCAATGTTTGACCGAAAACCTGAGCATTCCAGGGGGGGTACCATATACATATGTACATATAATATATATGTTCCAGGCCGTGGACCCCCCCCCCTCAACCCCCCCCCCCTGTGGTGGGGTGGTGGGGTGGTTGGGTGGTTGGGGTGTGGTTCGGAGTTGGTTTAGGCTTGGTGGGTTGGTTTAGGGTTGGTTCAGGGTTGGTTCAGGGTTGGTTTGCGGTGGGTTTCGGGTGGGTTTTTGATTTAGGCTTAGGGTTGGGGTTAAGGAGGGGTTGCAGGGTGGTTTGGTTTAGGGTAGGATGTTGCGAGAGGTGCGGGGGTGTTGGTTCACGGGGTGAAAGGAGGAGTCTGGGACCGAAGCTCACACGGTACTGGACAGCATCCCCAGCATTGCCGGCATCATCCCCAAGATGCGGATGATGCAGGGGAGTGGGGGGACGATACCATTGGGGGGGGGGGGGGTACGTGGCCCAGGGACTGGTACATATATACATATATACATCACTCCATAGACCATCGTGGTTTAAATTGCAGAAAATCGTGTCAACCACCTCTTTGCCCATATGAAAACACCGTACCGATGCTTTGCAATAAGCCAGCCTCATTGGTCAGCTGGAAATATGCCAGTGTGATAGAAATTTCAGCGCAGGTCACCACCAGGATAAGAAGAACAAGCATGAGAAATCCGAAGAGGTAGTAGAACCTCCAAAGCATGCAACTTGCACAGAGGCGAGATTACCTACACTGAAGTCAATGGAACGACTGCCGAGTTCAGAACTGGTGTTGCCAAATGGAGGACATGATGAAGAACAACTCAGTAAATACCTTAGCGCAAAGTGTACAGGTGATGATATCGGCTTGATGAAGGATACTTGCTTCCGAAGAGCTCCAGCAAATGGCAGCACGCCACCCACAAGGCAGGAGAAGGTCTCAGCCCAAAACTTGTGACACGAGACGTGACTCAACGACGATTGGGAAGCGCACCCCAGTGATGTACCAAGGCTGGGCTGGGACTTGCCGAGGAATCTGGTTGGTGCGGACTGGCAGCGAAACTGGGGCCTGGCATAGGCAGAGCGCTCCAGAAAAACAAGGGTTACAACAGGAACCTTCTTGTAGCCGAAGAAGGCGCCCAGAAAAACAAGAGGCACCGAAATCCCAAACCTCCAGGTCATCACGATTTTACATAAGTGGGAAGGCGTGCAACACTTCTTGCCAAGTGGCCAAAGGACCAGCAGCGCAAACATCGTGGTAAAAGGGACCGCTCCAGAGGACTGTGTGCCTTTTTCATCCAAGTGCAGGCAATGCAGGTTCGTACACACGACATAGGCTGTACAGCCTGAGGTTGAGACCCCAAATGAAGAGGTCAAGTACGAAGAAAATGCAGAAAACTGTTCCCGGGTACCTGCACATCGCACAATCAGTTCATTGCAACGAAAATGCTCGGAGCACAAGAAGGCTGTTAGCAGCGTTGTTTTCTTCCAATCCTCGGTGCGTTCAAGTGCCCGCGCACAACTTTAAACTGGGGCCCCAAGCTTCACCCTTCCACATTTTGTAGAAGCGGGCAGATGTGTAGCCTGGTTCTAGCCATGCAAGATGCGAGCCTCAAGCACAGAGAGTCACGGGCCTGCAAGAATGCCCGCAAAGGTGAAGAGCAAGAGCATACCCTGCACGGGAATCAGTCTGACAGGCTCCTGTTATTTGCTTACCAGCCTGAAGAATAGAGCCGCGGTGCACTGGAGAGAGAAATCCAATAGCTGAAAACACGAGGGTCACACACGAACAAACCAGCAGTTGAACCTTAGCAAAAGGTAGGTACAAGACATAAACCAAGTCAGTGCCTCGAAAATTAAGGAGCTGACGCCCGAGCCGACAGAGACGGCCAACGCCTGCCACCAGCGTCTGTTTGGGATGCAAGCTCGGACAGTTGCAGTAACCCTAAAATGTTACGCGTAGCTTCGAATGCAACCTTGCCATGCTAGAAGTTGAGATTCTGTCCATCGTCAGTCTTGAAATGCAAATGCTCAAGACATGGATAGCCCTGCCACAATCCTTGATTTCATGTGTCAATAATTTTGGGGAGGGGGTAGTGGCAGCACTCCGAGCAGAAAATCGACCACGAAATCGCAAGGGGATTGCACTTTCAATGTCTCGCAGCTGCAGATTGACGGCCATGTTCGTCGGAAAAGGAAACAGCGCTGCAGCGCCAAGTTTTGGGGATTGGATGAGTTTGGGTTGCAGGGCTGGTTTGGTTCAGCTGCGATTTGGGATGTGGAAAGGGCTTTGGTGTGGTGGTGCAGGCACAGGTAACCTGTGCAAGAACAACTCACGACAATTCAAAGCTGGTGCGGAGGCTTGAAAAGGATCGCAAGGTTCAAGTCACTTTAGGAAAAAATACTAGATCATGTATGGTCTGGTTGCAGAACTGCGCGTCGGCGTGTCAACAAGGGTAAGTACAGACCAAGCTGCAGCAGCCACCATCTCCTCTCTTGCCATATCGATCGGAAGGTCATGTTGAAATGAACCCAGTGCGAGGCAAGAACTTCTTGAAATCAGCTTGGGCTCCTGCTTGCTCAAGAGATTGATGGCACTCAGGCTGGAAGTGCCTCTTGGACACCAGCAGTATTTTAGCCAACGTGTGGGATGAGTATATTGAAAAGCCGGTTGCCTCACTAGATCTGTTCAATGTCTCTTGAGGTTGCTGTACAAGTCTGGAAGCCTAAAGAAGTCAACGAAGGATTCTATACACATGCGCCAATCAGACAATCAGACTAGCATTTTGGCCACTAGGCCTGACGCTCTTTGCTTCGTGCTGCAACATCTTGCGAATATCCTGAAACTGGCAGCCTCCCGCTGTCATCCAGTATGTGATGCATGTCACTGTTGCTGCTCAATTTCGAGTACCCAAAGATTAAAGAAAACCATCGAAATGCTTTTTCCCCAAATAGTGCTTACACTAAGGTAGGAGTTGCGGCTGGGTTAAATCGAGGTGCGACAGCTTCGCACGAAGCGCACCCAGCTTGCGCAGGCCAAAAGAAACCTCGGCAAGGACACGAGGCACTTCTCGTAAGGCGCTGGAGAACCTCGCCAACGGCCAGACGCCACCCGCAAGTTTTGGGAGAGCCAACCCACAGCACAAAGCTTCTGGGCCAGCGCCGTCTCAACTAGAAAGCAGAGGGAGCAGGGCGTAGGGTGGCGAAGTGGGTCTCCTCCAAAGTTGGGAGCGGGATCCCATCAGATTCCATAGCTGCCCTGGCCCCAACTTCAGCCCGCCCTTCAGCCCTTCAGCCTTGCGAAACTCAGGGCGACGGACTGCCGTTGCGACACACTGAGCCGCCAACGCCACACTGATTGGGCTGTTCAGGACCACGGGCGGGGTCCGCACAAGGGCAGTCAGGGGCAGGGAAGCGCACACGGCTGGAGAGGCGGACGCCGCACCTTCCAAAAATCCCGCGACCGCGGGCATGCCCGCAACAAGCGGTCTCCCCAACGTGGCTGCCTTGAAACCAGAACCGGCCGCAGTTGGCTAACAGGGCGGCAGCGGGCAGGTTTGTTGCCGTTTTCTTTGATGCGAGGCGCCACCCCACGCCTGATTGAGAGCTGTGGTCAAGTCGTGCGCAAAGCGCACGCCCGCAGCTCCGGTTGCAAATTCGTACGTGTCTACGTGCAAAGGTGGCACACGAATGTGCGCTCTCGCTGCTTTCAGCAGGAAAGTCACAACTTTCAAGGGCGGAGCAATGCACGGAAAGCACGCTCTCGCATCGCAACTTGAAATGGAAAAGCAGCACACGAGTTGCACTTCCGTATCTTCAGGTTGAAAATCGCAACTTGTGAGCGCGGAAGCAGTATGCAAAGTATGCTTCTGCAACGAAAACCACCAGCCTTCTTAGAGAAAGAAACATGAAAGGTTGGGCGAGAGAGCTTCAGAGCACCATGCGCAAGAGGGACATCGTGCGCGCATCATGGGCAACATCATGCACAGCTTCACGCGCAGCGTCAAGTCGCAGCATCGTCCACAAGAGAAGTTAGTTGACAGGAGAGATTGTGAAGCATGATGCTAAGCTTCCTCATCAGACCTTGCAGGGGCTACGCTTGAGCAAAAACATTGACGTGTTTATGTTGTGTCTCATCAAGTGGGAGAGGTGTGTCAGAGTTTAATTAACGATGTTTTAAACCAACGATATGTTTATGCTTCTGGGCCACCCGTCATCAAGTTAAACGTGATGCTACTTGGGGTCTGTTGCTGGGGTAATTTTGTATAGATCTGCGCTGCTTGTAAGACAAAACCAGAATTACTACTGAGCCGTCCAATCCTTCCCTTGGCGATGCGCTTGGGCTTCTGTTCTCCTACAGCTGGTGTCTGGGTTCAAAGTAAACGCTGTTAGTTGGCGCAAAAGCTTCATCGTGTTTCTCTCTTATGTTTCCCACTTCGCTTGCTCTGGCTGCCTGATCTCAGGCATGTTGCTTTATGCGATTAGCTTAGTCGGCGACACACTTCGTGTTGCCTGAGTGACCGAGAAGAAAAGGAAAGTACTAGGCTTTTGGGCTCAGAGGGCCCGTGCCTCTCGCTTCAGCGCTTTGGCCCAATTGCCAGCCACCTATAGCCCATAGCCGCCCATAGCTGTCATTCTTTGACTTGAAAACCACCGACCCCGCCCCCGTCGCTTGTACAAGCTCCATGTGGGAATCTTTAGTACCCCCATTACCAAATTGAGAGAGCTTATGTTGTTTGAGGAATGTGTGCGTGTCTGTGTATGCGCGTGTTTGAGCTGGTGTGCGAATCAAGTCGGCAGCTTGTTCCATTCCAGCTTGGCAGCTTGCCGCTGAGTACCAATGCGATCTTGTATCTCCAAGCAGCCCAGCAGGCCTTTGAGTGCGGAGGCTTCCTGAAGACATCACCATGTACGAGTTTCCAGCCAGTCTCCTGGACATTCACAAGCAAAGGGCTAACAGGATTCGACAATCTCTCCTCTGCGGAATCATCCGCATCCATGTCATTGTATTTTGCAATGTCCCCTGAGATCGAAATCATATCATCACGGCCACCAAAGCACGGACCATCGCACAGGATGTGTAAAACGAGGCACGATGCAATGTTCGCAGCAGGATCATGGCTACCATTCCAGACAGGAAGAGTACCTCACTGACGCGTACTTCTTGGAGTACGTCATGATAGCCGAAGATGGCTGGAGGCTGAATTTGACCAAGGCACAATCATCAGTGAGTTGATTATTGAGAACCTGAGACCGTGCTACACACATCAACAAACCGAAATCCCAAAACTACATACGTACAGATTTAGCAACCAGCAGCAAAGCGTGTTTCGACCGAAAGTTGCAGGCTTTCCTGCGCAAACTTGTCCACTATCCCTCCGGTCAGGTCCAAACCAAGCCCGCCACCAATGAATCTGGCCTTCATGCATCTTCCTAAGCGGGCAAAGCCAAGTAGCTCGGTGATTGCCATAAAGCAATCTGCAAAAAGCTGTGTGCAACTGCAGTCCAGCCGCAAGTAATTGTCCCAGCGAGATGCCCAGCGAATTGGGCTTGGAATCCAAACCTGCCAGCACAATGTGCCCAAACTATGCCGACTTCTACCGCTTACGCTAGGCACCCAACGACATCATAGCTGTACGTGATGCTCTGTTCTTTCATCAGATCCTGGTTCTCAGGTCTAGTCCAAACAACCAACCTATATCCTGAACCTCGGTTGGGGCTGCGGCGAAGTGGGGCACTGGATCATCCATATCACCACATTGAAGAGTTCCATCAGAACTGATCAAGCCGTGCTCAAGCCGTGCAACACTGTTCGATTCACTGCATTACCCCCCATGTAAGTTCCTAGCTTCTTCTGCTGCTGAATGCTCAACGGGAAAACCTGCGTCACATCCGCTAGACCCAAGACAAGCTGAGGAACAAGGGCCCGTGTTCATCATGTGGTTGGGGGAGTGGGCGGGGAGTGGGGAAGGGGTACACTGGAAAATTGGGTAACCTTAACAAATGTTCCGGCTGAATTTGGGCTGACGTTCCGGCTAACCTTAACTTAACCTTGACAAACTGTTCAGCAAACTTTTATTAACTCTCCGGCTGAGCTTGATTAACTTTCTGCTACCCTTAACGAACCTGCCTTAGCTTACTGTCCCGACCTTAGGCAACTTCCCACTTACCCTAGCTAACTGTGTCCAGCTTTAAGGATAAGCCAAACTAAAACGGATAACCCTACCAAACTGTCCTGTTACCCCCAGCCAACTTTTCGTATATGGTTCAGGTAAACTGTCCGCTGATCTTAACTAGCCCTCACTAACTTTCCGGCTTATCACAACTAACTTTGCGGCTCACCTTAGCTAACTTTTAGCCTAGTCTAAGCTCACTTTCTAGTTGATATTCACAAACTCTCTGCTTGACTAATGCCTAACCTTAACAAAATGTCCGCATAAACAAAGCTAACTTTCCGGCCAACCTTGACTAACTGTGACTAGCCTTTTGCTAACCTTCAGTAACTTTTCGGCAACCCCCAGCTAGCCTGGACTGCACTTGTTGCCAGCTAGCCTCAACTAATCTCGGACAACTGTCCGGCCAACCCTGGGTAACTTTCTGGCTAGCCTGAACTAACCTCACCACTGTCAACACTGGCTAACCTTAGTTGACCCTTGACTGGCACTTATGAACTTGTCTGTTAAGCTGAACCAACTGCTGTCCTTCTAGCCTTAATTGCCTTAGAGTAACTTACCTGCTAGCCTTCACCGCTAGCTGCCCGGCTACCCTTCACTAACTGTCTGGCCAATCTTCGCTAATCGAAATCAGTTATATGGTTTATTAACTATTTTATTATCCAAATCCTTAGCGAACTCTCTCTCAAGACTGCAGGACAAGGACAGAACGACTGTGAAAAGACTACACAACTACAGGAAGACTATGGGAAGACTCTACAAGCAGACTGCGGAACCCCGCTGCGGAACACTATGAGAAGACCACGCCAACGTTAAGACTGAGGGAAGACTTCCGAAAGACGAATCTGGCTTGAGTCTTTCTGCTAGTCTTTTCGTAGTCTGTAGCAATCGCGTATCTTGCCAGAGTCTTCCCATACTCTTTCAGTAGTCTCCTAGTTTTTTCCGCAGTCTTCCTATAGTCATACCGTTTGTTTTGGCCAATTTCAGTTCAGATTGACCCAATCATTAGCTCAGCTTGCGGAAGCTCAGGTTTGAAGCAATGCAAACAACAAGTTCATGTCAACCGAAACTGGGTAAAACTAGCCGTTGTCAGGCAAACAAACAACTACCCTTAACTATCTTTGCAGCCGACTTTCGCCTTTCAGCTAACATGAATGTGCTGTTCTTGCCAAACTTTTCAGGAAACTTGAATTATCTGTTGGGCTAACCTTAACTGACCTTTCGGCGAAAAAGAGTCAGCTAAGCCTACAATTGGCCAAAGGACGATCTGCAGGCATCGCTAGCATTCTCTGCAGCAACATGTTTGGCAAGTTACAACTCTGAGTCAAATGCCATTGGACGCTTGCGTCAACTCAAGTAGACGCTTGGGCCTCCTTCTGCCTACCTCCCTGGCTGAACAGGGGAGCGGGTAGATGAAGGCGCCAGCCTCTACGCCTCTAGACTCTACATGTTTGTCCGGCCTCAAAGCCCACAACACGACTACCTTCAAACTCTTCTGCGTTTGTATGGTAGTAGAGCCTCGGCAATCGGAGCTTGGCTTCTGTCACTGAGTCACGTCATGCTTGTGCCATCTTGGGCCGCTGCCCAATCTGGATGTGATTGTGCACAAAGTAACTGCGGGCTCAGGTTTGTTCATAGTCCATGAGGAATATATCTGCATCGGGTTGCCTGCGATCAATCTTTAGTCCCACGGGGAAGCCATTAGTGTACCTGCAAAGTTGGTGAAGTTTTGGAAGCACCGTAAATGCAAAGGCAAGAGACACTGAAAACTAAGCATCAGAATGGACGGGAGCACGACACAGCGCCGCTGCTTGTCTTCTGATACTTCATAGCCTGTTGACAAGAGGTGGCCTATGACACAGAAAGCTGGGAATTTGAATATGAACAAAACGTACTGAGGTTGCTGCAGCAGGCAAATTATCCACCAACCAATTGACCTTAGAACATCTGTGAGTTAGAATCTAAACGGCATTGTCACGCTGATGCACACAACGATGGCCTGATACTCGTGATCGATCATCCGCTGGAACACTGCTTTTTCCTGCAAGGTCAGCTGAAAAAGGGCAAAGGAGTATGGAACCAGGTCAGCTGACGCCTCTTCCTCAAGGGCTCGATCACACAAAAGAGCACAGGATACGTTGACTTTCATCCTGCAATTGTCACAAAAAGACGAGAATCAATTCTGGCTCAGCTTCAAGTCAAGCGACACAAGTGCCACAAGCACATCCTGACATCATAGAGTGAGTTTTCTATGGAATCGCCCATCAAGATTTCGCCGAGATTTTCCGGAGTAACATGGATCTCCTGCATGTCATCCAAACTCAGACACACATTAGGATGAGACAGCAAGCGTCCTTTGGCGGACAGTAAGGCAAGGTCTCAGCAATGCTCGTACCGCAATTCACAACATCTGGAACAAAACAGCGGATCATCCTTTGCAGTAAGCGCAGTACGTAGTACCTGTAGGGAAGCTGGGTCTTCACCTCGGCCCACATCTGCAAAAACCCAGTCCAGCTCAGAGTCAAGCAGTGCGGCATGTACAATCATGCATAGCAAAAGGTTCTCTCGATTCTAAGGAACCGACTGACGTCAGCTTATTGACTTTGAGGTCCACTCTGCTGCCCTTCAGCAAAATATCACAGCCAAACAGAACACGACCTGGTTTCGGGCTAAAGGCACTGACATCCAAATACTCTGTCGGAGCAACGCCGGGCAGGTAGAAACAAGTTGCCTGACAGCCATTGATTGCAGCCACAATGGCGTTGTTATTGTCGTTGCTGTTGTTGTTGCTGCTGCTGTTGCTGCTGTTGCTGTTGCTGCTGTTGCTGCTGCTGCGGCTGCTTTAGCCGTTGCTGCTGCTGCTGCTGCTGCTGCTGCTGCTGCTGCTGCTGCTGCTGCTGCTGCTGCTGCTGCTGCTGCTGCTGCTGCTGCTGCTGCTGTTGGCGCGCCGCACCCTTCGCGCCCCTGAGAAAACACACGCTCGTAAAATTGCACCCGCCCAGTGCCACTGCGCACACGCCTGCCAAATGGTAAGTAAGAACACACCCGCTCAAGTGCACCAGCTCAGCACTGCAACGCCTGCCAAATGAGTGCTCTTGCCGTTGCTGTTGCCGCTGTTGTTGTTGCTGCTGTTGTTGTTCTGCTGTTGTTGCTGTTGTT